GATGGGTTCAAAGAATGCCTTTTTTCGATGCTATTAAAGTGTCAAGAATGACCGTTTTAACGCATTATATTTTTGCGAAATTTTCAATGGGTTTTTCGTGACATAAATGAATGCTTCATCGCATTATATTTTTGTGATACGCGCATCGGAAGATCATAAATTACAAATGCAACCACTTCGTCATCTCCTGATGATGCCAACTTGTTAGAGATCATAAATGACAAATGATAGTACACTTCAAATAATCCACACTGTATATGGAGAGGATTGCACCTTGAAACGTTAGATACCGTTCTCTTTTTTCTCAATCGACACCCTATGTACACGTTTCTGTTATATTTACCTACATTTGTTCAACTCCTTATGATTATGCTAACTTGATTAATGAAGATGCGGCTCAGTGTCCTTCCAAGCCCTCAACGTTGCGCACGACATCAATGCTTTTCCTTCGTCATCTACTGATGATGTCAACTTGCCTAGCAGAAGCGTATTTTTATGCGAGTTTTCGTGAAATAAATGAACGCTTTATCGTACACATTTATATAGTTTTTGGCTGAATTTTCTATTATTTTATTATTATTTTTTGTTATTTTCAGTATTAGTGACATAAAAAGGAAACAGCTCATATGCTCATCAACTTTTATATTACATGTAGATTCAACTTTTCTCTCGACAAGTTTCAATATGATTTCCATAATTAAAATGAGTACACATGCTAATATTACACAATCCATTGCAAATATAATATTTATTTCACTTTTCATATTCTCCTCAGCGTTGCTTATATTGAACATGTTCGTTTCTTTAATGTACACTGATTTTGTTCAATAACAATCTCAGTTTGAATACGTCTTAACGGATATGTTGTTACTGTGGTGTTACTCAAGGTGCAATTCAAAACATTGGCTCCTTGCTTCAGGAACCAACTTTTCATGGTTCCGCGATAGACAAAGGTTATCTAATTTTTTCGTAACCTCACTTTTATCCTCCAAAAAAATAAATGCCTCTTGCTGGTTGAATTGTCATGTTTTTTTCCAAATAATGTATTTTAGCCACTCCTTGTACACATTGATGATATGTTTTTCCTAAATGATGTATTTTGAGCCACACTGTACACATTTACGCCATGTTTTTTTTCTTTAATGATGTATTTTGAAATACCCTGTACACATTGACGCTATGGTTTTTTCTTTAACGTTGGCAACCATGTTTTTTTAAACGCTGCACGCCGTGTATAGCATTTGATTCGTGATTTTTCGACAGGTAGCCGCAATATTTTTTTCGTTTACATGAGCAGCCATGTATTTTCTCTAATGCTGCAGACCCTGTACACCTCCATGGCAGCCATGTTTTTTCTTTATCGCAGGCAGCCATGTTTTTTTCTTTAACGCTGCACACAGCCTATATAGTATTTGATTGTTATTCGACGTCTCCCCCCATTTCCACCTAACATTTGACAAATGACAAAGGCAGCCATGTTCTTTTTTTATGTTAGCAGTACACATTGTATACCTTCACGACAGCTTTTCTTCAACGCTATACACACACACTGTATACCGCGATGGTAGTTGTTTTTTTTTCTTTAACGCTGTTACCCATGTTTTTTTCTTTAACCTGCACACCCTGTCCCTGTATACCTCCATGACAGCTTTTCTTCAACGCTATACACACCCTGTATACCTCCATGACAGCCATATTTTCTCCTTTAACGCTGACAGCAGTGTTTTTTTTTAACGCTGCACACACCCTGTATACCATTTGATTGATGTGTTTTGAAACAACACCCTGTATACCCAATTATTATTGTTCTCATATAATCCCAAGCGCGCTTGACTTGTTATACCTCAAACAGCGATAATGCCACCGCTAACACTTATTAGCCACTTCTGTTCCAGCACTCTACTTATTGTTTATCTACTAAATACTCTCCGCATTTTACCCATTGTTTCAATGAATATAAGGAGAGAGTCGCTATATGTAAGGAGAAACTAATATTAATAGTCTGGATCGATTATCGCAATGCATAAAACATTCTTCGCAATTCTCTTGCTGTTCGCATATTAGCTACACCAACATAGTGTACCTATGGGACTTACTATATCACAAACAAAAGCAATGAATACGTTTCCTAACATAAAGGGAAGTGAAACTTGAAATTTGATGAAATGTGTTTAGATTAACAAGATCTTGAGTACTGGAGTACTTACCTCAAAAACAGTTCGGAGGGAGGACATCCAAAACAGGAAGGAATAAATGGCAAACTCACTATTCCTATTCATCGTACTTCAATTTTCGAGCTGTCCTTCTCCTATTCAGTAGCTCATGTGCTAAATATCTTTCAACGTATCTTAATTTATCTCTATTCAAGTAAAACTTCACTGTGAGATTTTCACTGAACAGTTTGCAAAACCGCAACACCTGTTACACTATACAATTGCGCCCTCAGGTGTGTTCATACACAGTATGAAGACAAGTAACATAAATAATAATAATAATAGCTCGTAGATGGAAGCATCCTACACCATCTGGATGCCAGAGAGACGTATACCTACCTCGGGGTGGAACAACGCCACTCACAAAAGGTGACAGCAGTGAAAAACTCTCTCCACGGCAAGTATCAGCACAAACTTCGACAGATCTGGTCATCAGAACTGTCAGGGAAGAACAAAGTTGCTGCAACAAATATGCTTGCCATTCCAATCTTACTCTACTCGTTTGGAGTATCAACTCAACGTAAAGACCCGAAATCTCTAAAGGAGTTTGCATCCCAAATCCTCCGTTCATCAGCGCAGACGATTCATGAACCCAATGATCACTCACCCCACTGAATAGTGAGTGGTCATTGGTAAATGCTTCTGGTGCGATCTCTGAATGTGTCACAGCTTCAAATAAAGGACTTGTTTGGCAAACTCTTTTCTGGAAAACAATGATAATAAATGCAGAAGACTCATGTTCGTTACGTCAGGGCACAACATTCGCAAATCCTCCAATGATGACTTCTTTCAGGTAAGTTATTACTGAGTCAGAGAGCATGTCCTGAGCAATGGGTCATTGGATTTGCCCTGTCAATCCTGAATCATTCAGACCGTTCCAATAATACCTTAAATTCCATAATTTCGAAAAATCAATTTTCTGCATCTTTCTTCCACCCTCGATTTGCAAAATCAAAAGAAATTATTATAGGAAACTATAGTGTACTTGAAGATCTTTTTATCGATACACACAAGCTATGATAAAATTAAACTATGTACCTATTTTTCATCTTTGCAATTTCATCGCAATACCCCAAGGCAATTAGCGTTATACAATATTACAACGAAATATGTCAGTTAAGGCAAGTAGAGTTTTCAAGCCAAAAAAGAAATTTTTAATAACATTCCACAATACAAAACTTGATATTGTTTGTGAAATATAAATGGAAATTTGCTTTTGATATCTTCAATGGTGAAGACAAGTACCTACACTCACTGGTGCCAGCATGGGGACATCGAAAAACGTATGTTTGCAAAAAATATATGGAAATTTGTTTTTAATATCTTCAATAGTGATGACAAGTACATTCACTGGTGCCAGCAAGGGACATCAAAAAACGTAAGAGATACCAAGATGGTTAAAATAAGAAAAGTTTGAAATTTAGAAAACTCCCATTAGTTCCGGTCCCTTTCAAACGCGTAGGCTTTGCTTAGTTTCTATGAAAGGAAAAATAAATGAGTTGTTGAGTACTATCAGACTATGACTCTACTGTGTTTATGGAGTCAGTTACATATTAAAGATGCATTCAAATGACGAAAGGGCTAATATGCTATGTAAAATCAAATAAAAATCCTCTTTTGGCAAGAAACTTGTATGGTGAGCTGGAGGTACCCAAATTGTCGTATTTCCAACATTCAAATGTTTAGACAATTAAAAGACTGTGGTGAATTCGACATAAATGAAAATGTGTTGTTACTAGAGGCTGGAGGTTTAAGGAACCCAATTCATATTTTGGGTAAGCAAATATAACCTCAAAGAATAACAAAGTGTAAAAAAATTTGTTTTTCAATTTAGGATAGGTCAGTTACAAAAACATTTCTAATCAGGATTGTTCTTCTTGCAGAAATCCATGTTCACTTCATTTGATAGATCTTGTTTTCAATGATTCCTTGGAAATGGTTGTTTATTAAGAACATTATGCTGTTAATATTTTAAATGTATTGTTTTGATGCCGATGATTAAAATCTGGTTTAGTAGAGTTTACAGTTCGATCCCCAGACTTTTACTCCTTCACATTTTTTTGTCTGGGGATATATAAAAGATGATTTATTCAACACGAAGTAGAGATACCGACCATCTCAAACAAAAAATAAAAGATGCATGTAACATCATTACACCCATCATTCTACAAAATTGCCGCTGGAATTGTCTGGACTGATAACTTATGTGCATTTAACAACGAGATAGTCAATTGGAGCACTTAATGTAGTTTGTCATGCAGAATTCATTTTTCATATTGGTTTTATTTTTCCTCAAAAATTAATTATAAAAACACAAAATGTAAAATATCAAAATTTATTCAGAAATCATTGGGAACGACAGACAGTGCATGAATAGTAAGTGAACAAATCTCTTTGCCTATCTTTATCAAGAGTGGTGCTCATTTTTCCATTAGCACCGCCCATTAACGTGAATTATTCACTTGAAATTTTAAACTTCTAAAATTAATATTCTAATAATTACGTGATCAGATCTCTCCATGAGATACTTCAATAATACGTATTGTAACATATCACAATTTAATTTTTTGAAAGAATTTGTTTTTTAAAATCATTTATTGAATGAATTTTGAAACGACACCTTTTGGAAAATGTGTGTTAATGCCTCAACATTTTGGAGGAACATCCTTAACTTCATCAGTTGATGAAGTCAGTTTTTATTTCTAGTGGCCTACAAGGTTTCCTACTCAAAAGCAACAATATAAAAATCCTTCACAGAACTAAATAATGGAATCAAATGAAAATCAGTTCTGAGGACAAGTTTTACTGTGAACACATCAACAATATACATGATTTTTTCTTAAATAAAGTGATTTAAAAAGACAAAGTCTTTCCTCTCGAATTTTTACACTAACAAAAATTATACAAAAAATACAATTAATAAAATCCTACTTGTCATATAAATACATTATATCTAAATAAACTATTTCACAGATTTCTTCATTATTCGTAATGTTTCGAATAGGGTTTTTTTCTTAAGAAAATCATCTGACTTAAATCACACTAATGAAACAGTTTTTAGTGCCGTAAAATACTATTTTGCACTGTATATGTTTCTTTCTTCCTGCTGTCATAAATCATTAAAATGCTTCAAAGAATAGCCAAGTTAAACAATGGTAATAATCTATGACATCAGGTCATTACTGACATATTTTCTGTCTCAAAGACATTTTTCAGTCTCTAATCATCAAATGTTTTTTCTTCTGTTTTTTCAGCGTCAGACGAAAGTGCTTCTATTAATGCCTCTACACAATTTTTTGGAATGAGGGTACCTAGAAAAAAAATTCTTCAGAGTATATCCACTTCAAAACATCATTTAGTAAATAAAACTCAACTAATAGTCCCTAAACATGTAAAAAATGTTTTGCAACACCTCTACAGTATCAACTTTCGTTCAACTCATAACTGAGATACTTGCCAACCACAAATCTCATTTATAAATATTCACAAAAATGAATGATTTTCTTTTTTTGATTCTAGTAGCTTTTCGAACATAAAAAAATGTCAATATTCAATACATATGAATATGAATTTTTCAGTTTGAATAAAAAACCAATTTGAATAATTTTAAATTATAATTTAAAAAAATACTGAAACCAAAAGTTTTGTTTTGGTGGTCTACTTTTGATGCAATCTTCTACTTGCTTGTTTCTGATCTCTAGCATGCTAGTGTGAACACAAGGATCTCTGCAACCCACTTAAATGAAATTTTGATTCAGGTTAATAATTAGGAGGGGCGTCCTTCTTGTTAACAAAACAATACATAAGTAACAAAGATATTTTATGACAAGCTTAACCGACTTTAACAGACATAAATACATATTTTCCAACATTAGTTCATCTTTGAAGTCTAAAGTTCATAAAGATGTATAATAGCATTATTACTTACCAACAATTTTCAGATCTTCCTTAGTCCGCAACCTAATGACCTGCATTTTATTATGAGACCCATTTTTGGCTGCAAGTACTCCCTCCACTCTACTCCATACTGACAAGACAGAACCAGAAACAACATTGTATGTACGTCTTCTAAGACCTACTTCACAATCATGTCCTACCGACACATTTCGACAATTCCCACGCCAATAGGCATGTGAACATGTATTAACAGAAGCATCATACTGCTGAATCCATGCTTCCTCCGCTTCTGCAGATTCAACCTACAAAATTAACAAAGTAATAAATCTACAGCTAATGATGATGATCTTTTTTGATATTAAAGTCGCCTGTAGTATGAAATAAAGAAATTTAATTTTTTCTATCTAAAAAAGGGCTAAGAAATTGTACAGATACTTATCTTGACATTTCAGAGGCGGAAATCTGCTTACATCAACAGGATTGATAATAATATAATGTAATTTGCAGTTTTTTCTTCAGTTCACCTTATTTTCAAATTTCTCCGACGAATATCAAAGGAGTTTTGAAATGTCAATGTTGTTGATTGACTTGTAAAACATTCTCATGTACTTCATATGGTTTTGAGTCACATCAACATAACTTTCACCAGAAGAACAAGGTATCTTATAAATGCAATTTTTTGTTCTTTTTTGTTGTTGGGTTTTATATGTGTGAGTATAGATCTATGTATTTTTTGTTTTGTAAGAAATTCTAACATCATATCTACTTTCAATTTGTATTATCTTTTCAAATAGTTCTGGAATTTGAAGTATAACACAACATCACATATGAGTCACCTTCCGATCAAGCTAACATATTTGCTGAAAACTTTTAATAAAAACTTTGATTGCAATCATTATGAAAATGTGAACGAATGTCATGAAAACTTCTTTTCCGAGATCCCCGTCCAAGAAGATAATACATACAACATAGAAGAAGAATATTTTGAAATTGTATATCAGGGAAAAACTCCGCTCCCTGACATAACTATATCACAAAAAAATTGTTGAGAAAGCTGATCATGAGATTCACAAATATGTAATAATAATAATAATATCATCTTTATTATCCTCAAATACATCTTTAGGCAACTGAATCAGGTACAATTTGACTTTTATATGAAGACAAAAAGCGAAGTTCAATTTGCATGATGACAAGTCATCATTCAATTGCTTTTCCATATCATAAAAATACTTTAATCAAAAGATCTTATTAGTCAGTGGGCTATGCTTGAAGACTGGCAGTAAACAAATCTAAAGAAATGAACTTCAAACGTTCAAGCCAGTCTCGAATATACCTACATAGTAGGTTGAATGGACTGACGCCTATCAGAAAACAACTACTCCCCTGGCTAATACCACGAAGAGGGTTGGATTATATCCTACAGGCGTCAATACAGGAATCTTCACAGAAAATTTCCTGCATATGCAATTGGCAATACAACTGAAAGAGTCAACCTTCAATTTTGGAACGGGCACACTTGCAGACCGGTTTCGGACCCATTAGCCACTCATCAGTGCAAGATAGTGGGCATCATCGACCTAAAGTCAATGATATTCCATAATTGAAAATCGGAATTCTCTCAGAGTATTTCATTCCTCTTCCTAAGTTGGAGCGAACAACAAAATGTCACTCCATCTAGTGGATGAGGTACTAACCAACTGGATATCCGAAATGTGCCCGATTCCTCTGAATAAGGAAGAAAAACTTTTTTATCAGTCAGTGGACTATGCTTGATGACTGGCAGTCTGATAGGCGTCAGTCTATTCAACCTACTGTGTAGGTATATTCGAGACTGGCTTGAACGTTTAAAGCATCTCTTTAGATTTAATCAAACTAATAAAGACACTTTTGTCTAATTATCACTAGTTTTTTCATTTTTTCAACCGGTTTCACCCCATTATCAAGTATAAAACTAACATGTGAATCTGAAAACTAGATTATATAAGGAGTTTTTAGGTAAGCTAGAAGGCGAGGTAATTAAATGAACAAGAGTGCCAACTATAAAATTCAACACTGAAGAGTATAGGGGTCGTCAAACTTATAAATTCAAGAATGAAGACATACATAAATCCAGTTGCTCGTTTAAGGGTATATATTTCAGATTTTGACTGATTCATTAACTTACCTTGTGTTTTGATGTCTTGTAGATAATAATAATAATTTATCTTAGTTTTTGGTATTTTTAAGGTAGGGCATTGTGATTTCCAGGTAGGGTATTTCCCCACGATGCCCCCCCTTGCTACAGCCCTGTCCTAATGTAATAATAATTTAGGCAGAACTTTGTTCAATGCTAAACCCAAATGAGATAGAATGAAAAAATCAGGTATATATAGAATAGAGTGTGGCGAATGCTCTGCAGTATAAACAGGCCAAACCGGTAGAAAATTTGACGTAAGGCTCCGTGAACACGTCTGTTTGAACAAAAAATCTACAATATATGAACATCTACAAGAATCAAAATATAAGATAAGTAAAGATAACCTCAGAATACTACACATATGTAATAAAGAGAAGAAAATGAATTTGTTGGAAACCAGGGAAATTAATAAATCAATTAAAAACCAGAAATATATACCCCTAAACAAGCAACTCGATTTATTAAGGTCTCCACTCTTGAATTTTATAGTTGGCACCCTTGTTCATTCAAATACCTCGCCTTCTAGCTTACCTAAAAACTCCCTATATAACCCAGTTTTCAGAATTCACACATTAGTTTTATACTTGATAATGGGGTAAAACCACCAGAAACCGGCCATAAAAATAAAATAACTAGTAGAAATTAGACAAAAGTCTTTTTATTCATTTCATTAAAGTGATCATGAATTTCCACAAAATAAACAGGTCATCAATCACACATTATAACATAAAAAGCTATGAATTTTGCCTTGAAACTCATCACATACCCCCCAAATGGCAAATGGACACAATAATTACAATTTCCAAACCAAACTTACCTTTTTATACTTCTTCTCAAGTTCTGCAAGGCTCTCTTGTCTGAACTGGAGACCAGTATTAGGTCTATAAACCGAAAACATCATATCCTTCTTGCTTTCCTTCTTCCCCTTTGCCCCTCCACTACCTCCCCCATCCACGGCCACAGCAAGGATAGCAGTATGTTTTCCATTCCTCACTTGGTGAGATAACCAAAAACCTTCATTTTCTCCAACTAATTCAGAAAGTTTCTCTAAGGCTTCTGGCCATGACATACCTCTCTCCACGTGCACAGTATGCAACTCAGTGGGAGCAGTGCCAGTGGCGTGTTTTCTTAGGAACATTACCGTGCGTACTTGTTTAACAACTTCTCCTCCTGCACCCAAGTCCAAAATACCTAGGAAAAAATTTGTTATTTTAGCATTATGAAAAAATAATCATCTCTTACTGGCCTAGCTAGTATATTCAAAAAAGTAAAAATTGTAAATTTTCATTCAACATGATATTGCAGAAATATAATAAATCCTCAACATGTTTTTTTTCTGGCAGGTTTACTTCCACAAACTTATTGACCTACCAGCATTGCTTTGGAAAATTGTAAACAAGTTGGCTGTATTTACAAAGATTTTTTCCAGATATTGATAGAGTTAATCATAAACTTTTCATTAAAAAAGTGATGTTTTCATGAAATGATGATGAAAAACTGCTTGGCCCATGAATTTTCTTATAGGAAGAATTCGGTGAGTCAAAATCAACAACTACATATCAGAAGAAATTTGAACCATAGGGTTCACATTGTGGACCTTAGCTATTCAAATTGTTTTCTATTGACTTAACTGATGTACTTATTAATGTTGAATATATTCTCTTCACAGGTAGTCTTCAATTATTTTACCCTGTACAAGATGTTCTCAGTCTCAGTCTTACTCTCCAAGGTGATATTGATAATTTTTTTAACTTAAACACAGATAAGATCAATTGCTGGAGGGGCCCTCTAATATCGTAAACGGTTTTGCCAATCTCTTCAAACAATCGTATACCGTTTCTTCCCCTTTTCAACCAAACTCTGATATTGATAATAATCACTTTCTTGATATATCAAGCTTCAGTGAAAACGAAGTATACGAGGCACTAAGGTCGCTCAAGCCTAAAAAGACCACTGGTCCAGATGACATTCCAGCTTTCATCCTAAAAGATTGTGCACTTGTGCTTACTTGTCCTCTATCTATACTAATTAATATCTGCTAAAGATCGGCTACAATACCAAGGATCTGGAAACCATCAAAAGTCTGTCCCATTTTCAAGAAAGGAGATAGACGAGATATTTCAAATTATCGGCCTATCTCTATTATTTACAACTTTGCAAAAGTTTTTGAGATTCTGCTGGAGCGAGTTATATATGGGCATGTTCCGGTGTTCCACAAGGTTCAAATCTGGGACCGTTGCTCTTCAATATATTCATTAATGATATTGCAGATGTTATAGATGTGTATTTCCATTTATATGCCGATGATCTAAAGCTATACTGCCTCGTTGAGAACATAGGTGATTGTGTGAACCTCTCAGCAAACGTAGGACGAGTTGTAGAATGGTGCCTTAGGCTTAGCATCTGCATAAATGTATGTCGGATATAATTCAATATCCAGCGTGGAATTAGCTGGAGGAGTAGTTGTTTTTGGACAGAAAATTACCACACCCTTAAATCGAAATGGAGTAGTAGAAAGCCAAAAACTTTCTTTCCCATCATTGTATTATATTTGAATCGTCAAAATTCTCAATGTTGACAATGACTGTTGCAGTTCATTATCTGAAGTAAACTTTAATATAAATGTTTATACTAGAAGGCATCCTGCTTTATTCAGCATAAAATTTCACAACACCAACTACAGTCATAACAACAGTTCATCGTCTCATATCCTTTTTAATTTTAGCAAAATTTGTATCAATCCTTTCATCTACTTTTTGGCCTCTTTAAAACATCATTATGTGTTTTTACAAGCATTTGTAAAACCTGTCTTGTATAAATGTATGGATGATGGGTTGGGTAAAATCTTTCAACTGAATTTTGAAACATTTATCCTCAACTGATTGAACTGAAATTTTGCATACATGTTCAATTTGGATGGATGATAATGCATGATTACATCCGATATGGAGGACTAGTTTTTTAAGTACTCTATGCCACAAGAACAAAAAACGTCCTTTTCATTTCCTGATGATGCTAACTTGGTTAGCGAAACACATGTCGAGAGACAAGGCACAATATTTTTTTCTGTATGAAAAATTATTTGCAGCTAGTTTTGATATGTCCATAAATTTTTTTCACAGACACCTTTTTTATAGATACAAATTTTATTCGTATCAGTGGATATTTTCCAGAATATAATACCGTGCTTTTAACGATTTTGATCATCATTATAATTACATTTTCACAATTATTACTGTAGCTTTCAACATTTATAGAACGAGTCCTTCACTCGCTAGGCAATTGTGTGCTGGGTAACTTGTCGAATAAAAAAATTACCAATTCTATAATCTAATAATTGAGGGAAAATTTGATTTACCAAACTACCACCAAGCCAACCTTCTTTTTAAATATAAAAAGGACAACATTCATAACTTCACCTCAATTCATTCTTCAAAAAGATGAGTTGAATTGTCCCTTTTTGGTGATGCCTTCAAATTTCACCAAAATATCATGAGAAAAAGCATATTAGTCCAGTAACACAAATGAAATGCAATATGATTAGCAATGTTTCGTAATGTAACTCAATGGGTCATACTGCATCTTCAAAGCCCAAAAACTGAACTAATATTCTTAATCAGGAATGTACAGTACTCACCTAGGTCAAATCTTCCAGTCCTTTTAGCCGAAGTAACAATAGCGGCTAACGTATCAGTAAAATACCTGAAAAAAATCATATAAGTTTCATTTGTCTTCCATATTTCCCCAAACTTGCTCACCTAAACAACCTATTCTGTAAGTCGACCGGCATACCAAGTATGCGGTTGAGGAACTTTGACATATTATTATAGTCCTTGTCCAATGAAAGGACTCCTGGCATACTTTCACTATTTACAATAATTCCCACTCCAACCAATGCTGCCGCAACGTCTTTAAAGAAGTCTCCTTTATAATCTCTCGGCGGAGGTACAACTGGTTGTTCATATCCCATGATGGCTTTCATCGTTGCTTCTAGAGCTGATCTACCATATTTGTTATCAATATTAAACTGACTAAGATCACGAGTCTCTGTAGCACGACGATCACCATGTGTTAGAGCACCCAAGCTCTCTAATCTTTTTGCTACAATAGAAGCGAACCTTCTTTCTCCAGCCAAATCAGAAATGAGGAAAATATATTCGGGGGCATTAACTTGGTTACTTCTGTGGGTTCTTCCAAACTGCTGGACGGCTCTATCAGCTGACCAAGGTAATTCCAAGGTTATATGCACCCTCCGCCTCTGATTTTTAACGCGACGGTCACTCTGCAATGATATACCACTAGACGCAGCTTCTGAAATGATGGCGACATCTTTTTCTCCATCCATGAAACGTTGCTTTTCAGTCAAATTGAGTGTTTCAAGAGGAACATCAGTTTCTGAGCGACTTTCATATTGAATACCGCCGTCCTCGGTAGATACAACTCTACCTTTCCTACCTAAAAAGCAAAAGTCATAACAATGGATTGAGTGTTTTCATACAAGTGTCACATTGAATAACTTCAAAAGTTTCAGGGTTACTGTAAGACACATGAATTGTTCCTTATTATATCTGATGGTATCTCTGTGTATTTTAGAAATTTGTATTTACAATTAACATCTTTTATATGACTTACTACAAACACTCTCTTGAAATGTAATGTAGTTAAATAAATCTATGTATGTCTATGTTGAAAAATTTTTGGGTAAGCAGCAAGCGAGAAACGTGTAGTACTCTTATCGCACTATATTTCCAATATTTTGATAGTTATTAATATCATCTTCAGGAAGAACTATAAAATGTGTATTTATGTAATGAAGAACCCAAAAAAATACTTACAGTGTGCAGACAAGCCCTATTAGCCTTGAACAGACAACTTATAACCTTAGGGTTAGTACTAGTGTCACCAAGGTTTAGCCAAAGCCTCGGCAGATAATAACATTATCCTGAGGTGGGTTAAAGGGCATGACAGGAGTAAAGGTAATCGCATTGCTGACTCTTTAGCCAAGGAAGCGGCTGGACTAAGAATTTTAGGACCCAGGGGCACCTACGGCCTGATGATTTCGACAATTTCGGAACTAGCCAAATGTTACACCCATACTCAATCCTTAGAGAGATGGATGGAATCAAAGGATGCAATCTTGCCAGGATCACCTTGGGTGACCCTGGGAAGCTGGTGCCGAAGAAATATCTGGCGATGACCAGGAAAAATCTAGGCTTAACAGTAGGATTCCTGACTGGCCACTGTCAACTAAGGAAACACCTCCATAATATGGGGCTAGTGGACACATCTTTATGCAGGATGTGTGAACAGGAAGATGACACTGTCAGGCATGTCCTATGCGAGTGCCCGGAGTTATCGTCAATAAGAGAGTGTGTGTTCGGCGAGTCTTGGCCTACACCTGCCGATATAAAGGAGATGTCTCCCAGTGACCTGTCCACCTTCCTGGAAAGGACAGGATGGACGATGACCTAGGAGGAGAACTCCTCGGGAGGATGTACAATGGGTCACATGTGGCCTAAGTGCTGTGGGCTTACACTCACCCTCCCTACTCTACAGATACAGTGTGTGTGGGGATGATCTCAATATATGTTCAAAAAAAGTTTTATCCGACATTAGAGTACAAAAACAGGAAAATTTTTATCAATTAAAAAGAACGATGTGGTCTTAACAACTAGCACTATATAAAATTCAACACATTTTTTAAACCATACTATTAGAATCAGAATCAAAACAATGTCGCCTCCTCGAAATGTATACATATATATTTGTAAGTCAGAAATTAATGGCAATTAGACATGTTTCGAGTGGAGTGAGCCACCCATCTTCAGTAAAACAAGAAACATACTATTATTCAAATGATATTCAAACGATAATAGTATGGTTTTTAAAATTTGACAAGTTTACTTATAGCGATAGCTGTGACGTGGTTGGGACCACAACATTGTTTAAAATTAATGAAATTTTTCCCATTTTTTCTACTAATAGAGGTTTTTAATTTGACTTTTTTTCTCTGAGAAACCATTGCCAATTTTAATATTTATATGAACTGTAAAAAGGAACTACCCAGTATAGATCATCGTTTTTGGCGACAATTTAACTGATTCATGTTTCATTGGTAAATTTTAAATTGTCATTTGAATAAACCATAGAATGGGTTACTTTTTCTCAAGGTTTTAATTTTTTTTTTGTATTTGCCCTTCTTATCTTGGACACGTTGTATATATAAACTATTTCCAATCATGTATCAGCAACTATCTAACCTACTTCTTTGTTTTCCGTTAGTGTCACGTTGATGCTGACATCTTGTGGCAATGTTCTCTACGAATACCATGAAACCAAAATTGAATTCAAGGTTTTTGTAGTTATGTTTTTGAATTTGACTTTCCGTCTTTGATTCAAATGAGCATGCTGTGATTTGGAATATCTTACTGATTCTTTTTTTTTTGGCGTTCCCAAAAGACCAGCATTAGGAACTTATAACAGCGGCTCAGGATCGAATATTACTCACGACAATTACTGAAAATAGCTTCAATATGATGTCCATTGATTTTTGATTTACACTTAGTGCTTGTATAGTCTTAATCTATGAAAAGTACATTAAATTGCTAATTTATACTAAGTCTAATACAGTTGACACAAACAATATTGAATTTGAAGGAGAAGGACAAGTAAAAATCCTAAGAGATGAAGCTGAAATAGCAGAAACTGTCAAATATTTTGAATCCAGCTCAGAAGAATTCGTTAAATCAATTAAGATTACTACTTCATGGCGAAATTCTACTACTTCAAGGTGAAATTATGGCGGTCTCTAGTTTCGAAAGTTTTAATCAACTTGAATTGAAAGATCTTACAGGAATTGTTAATAGATTGGAAAATAAATCTGGAACAGAAATCTTAGATATCAAGTTTATTAAAGCTACGTTTGGGGTCATTGGTTATGTTTTGTTACATTTTATAAATATCTCTCTACAATATGGGCAATTTCCTGAGCAACTGAAAACCAGCATAATAGTACCTGTTCCCAAAGTCAGAAATACTAATAAAGCGGGAGAATTTCGTCCAGTAAACACCTTACCAGGAATGGAGAAACTATTAGAAATGGCTGTATACGATCAGCTCCTAAGTTATGTTGAGGCCAATAATATTCTCATAAGTAATCAATTCGGTTTTAGGAAAATCATTCTTGTGAAACGGCTTTACAACTTACCATTAGTAAATGGACTCAATCTATTGACAACTGAGATTATGTTGTAACAGTATTCTTAGACTTAAGAAGAGCTTTTGAGACAATTGACCGTAATATATTAATGAAAAAATTGGAAGCTAAAGGTCTTAAAGGAACAGTGCTAGGATGGTTTAAGGACTACTTAAGCGATCGGAAACAAATGACTAAAGTGGGCAATGTTCTCTCATCTCCTATTGACGCAAAATTTGGGGTACCTCAAGGAAGTGTCTTGGGCCCTTTACTATTTCTTATATATATTAATGACATCAGTTTATGTCAAAATTGTGACTTTATGAATTTATTTGCTGATGATACAATGTTAACAACATCTCATAAAGATTTAGAGATAGCTTTGACAAAAATGAATATCTGCTTGGAGGAGATTCATAAATACTTGAACGTCAACAAATTAAAACTAAACGTATCTAAAACAAAAGCCATGATTCTGACCACAGCATATAAATATAAATATATAAACATAA